TCGGTCATTATTTTCTTAATTCATGTGCATAGTCTAATGTGACAGAATAAAAAATAGAGATAGTATGTATGGGTATGAGTATGACATCAGGAAAAAAAAAAGTGTGAAGCCCCTTTTTTTTTCATTCACTAGAAGAATTCAAAGCATTTAGTACAAAATATATCTTATATTTTTCAAGGTTCCTATTTGTTCCAGGTTTCCAGCAAGATTCCACGGCAGCTATACTTTCCAACCTATATAATCAAAAGACATTAGAACTGAAATCAATCATTGGACGACTCCTATTAGAGTTTGCTAGCAAGCTTTATGGCATCACATTTTAATTTTTTTTTTTTTTGGAGTTTGCCAGCAAGCATTATGGTATCACATTTTAATTCTTTTGACACACAATTATCAAGAGATGAATCTTGGAATCGTGGATCACTTGTGACAATCATCCTTATGTTATAGCAATATAACCAATCAAAATGCTCTTAATTTATAAAGTTTAAAAGGGAATAACATTTACTTTAGGAGCAAAACCACAAAACTAAAATTTACACTCCAAAAACTCATAGAAAGTACAAATAATGGGACTACAGTTATTTCTCATTCTCACTTTAAGTACTTTGTCACTTCTATAGGCGACTACAGTCGATTTACATGGATTTATTTCCTGCGGTCTAAATCTGAAGTACTTTCTGTCTTCAAACTCTTTCATGCATACATTCAAACCCAATTTTCTGCTAAAATCAAAGTACTTCGTTCTGATAATGGAGGTGAATATATGTCTTCTGAATTTCAAGGATTTCTACAAGAAAATGGCATAATTTCACAAAGATCTTGTCCTTCAACCCCTCAACAAAACGGGGTGGCTGAAAGGAAGAACCGCCATCTTCTTGATGTTGTTCATACCCTTTTATTAGAGTCATTTGTGCCATCTAAATTTTGTTGCGAAGCACTCTCTACTGTTGTGTATCTTATTAATTGATTGCCCTCACTTTTGTTGAACAATGATTCTCCATTCTCTCGATTATATGGTCATAGTCCAAATTATTCTAATTTGCGTACTTTTGGATGTATGTGTTTTGTCCACCTTCCTAAACATGAACGCACCAAACTCACAGCTCAGTCAGCTAAATGTGCTTTTCTAGGATATTCTGTCCACCAAAAAGGTTTTCTTTGCTACAACCCTGAGTTGCGTCGTATTCAAGTATCTAGAAATGTGATATTTTTTGAGAATTAGTTTTTTTTTCTCAACTTTCAAAGAACCTTTCACTCCCTCACATCCTGTGGTGCATTTATTTAATGATAACTCTAAAGGAGATCTCTCAACTGATATACCTCTGATTCCTAAACCTCTTTTAGTTTATCAAAGGCATAAAGCACCCACCCAAATCACATCATCAGCTCCAGAACATCCAACTTCAGGAGTCCCTCAAACTGATTCCCTTGTTGATCCTGTTGTAGCTGCCAATACTCCAAGACAAAGTTCCAGGGTTAGACAATCCCCAGAAAGGTATGGGTTCTCTAATCCAGTATCATTGTCGACCACCTTGACATCTGTTTCTATTCCATCATCTTATAAGCAGGCCATGAAGCATGAGTGTTGGCGAAAAGCTATAGAAACAGAACTTCTTGCACTTGAAGAAAATCACACCTGGGATATTGTAACTTGTCCTCAACCTGTGAAACCTCTTGGTAGTAAGTTTGTGTTTTCTGTCAAGCTACGTTCAGACGGTTCCATTGAGAGGTATAAAGCCCGGCTTGTGGCGTTTGGAAATAAACAAGAATATGGCCTAGATTATGAGGAAACTTTCGCATCAGTTGCTAAGATGACCACTGTGCGAACTATATTGGCACTTGCTGCCTCCCACTCTTGGCCTTTATTCCAAATGGATGTCAAAAATGCTTTCTTACATGGGGATTTAAAAGAAGAAGTTTACATGAGACTACCCACTGGTATGCCTAGTTCTTCACCTAATGATGTTTGCAAATTAAAACGTTCTTTATATGGTTTGAAGCAGGCACCTAGAGTTTGGTTTGAGAAATTTTGATCTACCTTACTTGGCTTTCAATTCAAGCAGAGCAAATATGATTCTTCTCTATTTCTTCAAAAGACTTCTCAGGGCATTGTTGTTCTTCTTGTTTATGTTGATGATATTGTTCTTACTGGATTTGATATGGAGGCTATCACTCAGATTAAGCAATTATTGCATTCTACTTTCCATATGAAAGACCTTGGCCAGCTAACATATTTTTTGGGTTTAGAGGTTCATCGTCAGTCTAAGGACATCTTCTTAAACCAATACAAGTATATTCAAGACTTGGTTCAGTTAGCTGGCCTCACAAGTAGTAGTCCAGTTGACACTCCAATGGAAGTTAATGTGAAGTATCGACGGGATGAAGGAAGGCTTTTTGATGATCCTACTTTATATCGTAAGTTGGTTGGTAGTCTAATTTATTTGACTATCACTCGCCCAGATATTTCTTATGTTGTCCATACTGTGAGTAGGTTTACGCAATCCCCTCGCATCTCCATCTATTAGCTGTTAAACGCCTCATTCGATACCTTCTCAGCACTTCTAATCGAGGCTTATTCTTCCCGGCTAGTTCTTCACTCCAGCTTCAGGCCTATAGTGATGCAGATTGGGCAGGATGCCCTGACACTAGGAAATCAACTACTGGTTGGTGTATGTTTCTTGGTGAGGCTCTAATCTCATGGAAATGCAAAAAAGCAGAACTATGTCTCTAAATCTTCTACTGAGGCAGAGTATCGTGCAATGTCAGCTGCGTGTTCAGAGATTATTTGGTTAAGGGGACTGCTAACAGAAGTTGGTTTTTCTCAAACTAAACCGACTTCATTACATGCTGACAATACTAGTGCTATCCAAATTGCAGCAAACCCTGTTTACCATGAAAGAACAAAGCATATAGAGGTTGACTGTCACTATATTCGAGAAGCATATGATAACCAAGTACTGAGCCTCCCACATATCTCTACTACGCTACAGATTGCAAATATTCTCACCAAAGCCATGCCAAGTCAACGCCATAACTTTCTTGTTAGCAAATTGATGCTAATTGACCTACTAGCATCAATTTGAGGGGGGGTGTCAATAGAATCAGCACATCTTTAAAGATTTGCTGTTTATAGTTGGCAGATTTTATTGTTCTAATAGTTGTTATTTTTTAGCCGTAAATATTTAAATTTTAAATTTAGGATATGATTAGATTTAGATATGTATCTATCTGTTTGTTAGTCTAATACCTACCCTATATAAAGAGGGTTCTCCAACAAAGGAAAGACATCTCTTTTCCACAGAATCTCAGTTCTCCTCTCTCACAAAAATCTTTTATTTCTTTTCATGATAAAATCTCTTATTTTAACAGTAGTAGGAATTGGTATAAACACAACATTCTATCCTAAATTAGAAAGGGAAAACAGGCGCCTTGCTAGTTTCGATGGCGCTATACAAAAGGAGTGTTTTTCGCTTCCTCTTTTGCATGAATTATTGAAACAAAGGTCAAGATTTCCCCCCCTTTCCCCAAAAAATGCATTTTAGGGCATTAATAGATGTCGCTGAGGCCAAGGGAAAACTTCGTGATGACGATGCTGGTTACGGCAAAACCAACAAGACAAGGCCAATTACGCTTCCATTCCTCCTGAATAAATCCAACCATAGATCGAACTTGTCCTATTTTCTGCCAGTCTTTTGTTCTCCTTATCTTATTTCTCTAAATATATTTAAACATGGTAAAATTAATTCGTATCACACTACCTTAACACCTCACCAAACCCCAATTTGCATTTTAAAAAGTTACCGCCAAAAACCGCCACAAGTAAAACTTATATCTAACCAAAGAGATAACCGGATCTAGAATTGCAAAATCTAAAGAAAAAATTGGCCATTTGTGGGGAGAGTAGGAATAAGAACCGAAAGACATTAATGAAAGCAATAGATATATAGAAAAGGAGAAAATAGTAATGATGATTATGAAGAAAATGGGAATGAAGCCATCGGAAAAGGAAGCTGATGGAATGATTAGACATTTTATAGCCAGTCATTTAAATTCAAAATACATTTACTTTCTCTCTTAAGCATAAATCCTAATACAAAATAAACATTATCCATACAATATTTTAATTCAACATTTAAATATGTTAACTTTCATTTTACACCACTAATCACCTTCCGGCCGACTGCCTGTCATCGGTGGGCGGTGGTTTGACGGCGACAGGCCAGTGGCGGTCCGGTGTAAGTAAATGTGACCCCATGATAATACATAATAATATTATTTTATTAAAAAACTATCCATTGACCTTTTAAATTTTTATTTATTGAAACCCTATTTTAAATCACATTCCAAATTCAAACTAAAAACTAAAATAAAATATTGTCTATACAAGCCCTAGTACTCTTAAGACCAACGCGGGGTAATTGGCGGTTAAAATCCGTGCCAATTACTTCCCACATCCATGTCCTCTATTGCATGACGTGGATTACTATATACTCGTGTGCTCATTTGTTTCTCATCTCTCCTCTGAATAATTCAGAAATAGTGTGGCCAAATGTTTACTCAGCCTTTTCTTTTTTCTTTTTTTTCCCCTTTTTCAGCAATGGTAGGCTATATTTTATTAGGTTTCCAAGGAACTACCATTGTAAGAAAAATTCATTTTACTCCCAACTGACATACATACTGTTGTGGAGCAATAAGGGACCACTTTTTCTCCATCAGCGTTGTGGTTGCTCCAAGTGTCATTGAAAATTTTTAGCTGGTAAAGAGTTGGGGGTGTTTCAGTCATTTAATTACTGCCACCGTTTGACTTTGAAGTTTCCCAGGTCAAGGGATGTTTTAGATATATCTTCAAAAGAAGAGGATCTTTTAAATTGTCTATCAAACGTTGGGGGTATTTTTGATATTTAACCCAAAAATTAGTCGAAACAAAGGACTGAGTACTGCTTAGAGTTCGCTTAAACTTCTCCATTAAACCACCCGCCGGAACCACCACCGTTTAAATGGAAGCGCAACCTGTAGAAAACACCTCCTGGGCGGCAACAACGCCGCCACAGTCTCCGGGTGTGGGTCCAGTTCATCTCAAAGACTGCATAGAAGAATTGCTGAAGTTCACCCTCACTTCCTCCATTAACGGCGAGCTCGACTTGGGCCTTTCAAAAGATTACTGTTCTCAACTTCTGCGAGATGATGATGACAACAATCATCCCCTTCCTCCTTCCTCCGGTATGTCGTAGAATTTTTCGTTTGTAAGTATTATTCAGTAGTCCCTCCTTGATCCGTTGTTGTCGTTTTATTTCATGAAGTCCTTCATTTCGCTGCTATTTCGGATTTTGTGAGTGTAGGGAATGGATGATTAGAAATTGAATATCAATATCATGATTCCCTGTTAGGGTAGCTGATGACGAGGGTGGTGGTCTTTCACAGAGTATCTGAAACGTTTTGTCCTTTCTGTGTTTTCTTGCTTTTGGGGTGATTTACTGGGTGCAATCGAGACATTCCTCAGGAAGTATAAAAGAGTAGGAAAATGTATGCTATTATAAAAAAAGCTTTCTTCTACCTTCATATGAAATTTACTTCTAGCCTGAGATACATATTTTTAAAGTACTTCATTGATTGATATTCACTCTTGCATCTTCTGTCCAGAAGTTGATCTTGCTAAAGGGGTTCCGATGTACCCTCTGTATAAGCACCTTGCAGCATCCCTGCATCAGTCTATATCTTCAGGTGCTTTTCTTCCGATGTCGAATCAACTGAATTCTACTCAAGAAGACAGTTCGATGAAGTTGAAAGAAGATGAATGGATTAAGTTGATCACAGAAAAAGGTTCTCTGTTGCTAAATGTAAGTTGGAATTTATGTTTTTTCCGTTGGTTGGACTACTAGAATGATTCACTACTAGACTGATGAAAGAAATCTGTTGCACTTACTAATCTACTATTAGTTTCTCATATAGATGTTGGCGATAGTAGACTTTGAATTCCATGTTCAGGAGCCTTTCTTTACCCAGCTAAAAGGTACCAAATGTTCAATATTAGAATCCTTTTTGTGAATTTGAATTGTCTTTGACTTGAGTCACAACGGAAACAACCTCTTTATATAATAACAAGGGTAAGGCTGTGTACAACCGACCCCCCAGACCCCACCTTGGTTGGGAATATACTGGGTATGTTGATGTAGGCCTTTGGTCCTTATTTGAGGAGTGTGATATAACGTTATTATCATCTGTAGATGGATGCAAGATAGTTGAAGGAAGGTGCGCAGTTGGGAAATATAACAGGTACAGATAGCTTTGAAAAATAATTTTGTTCACCATGCACTTTTTGGATGTCTTTTGCGACGTGTTCCATATTGATCCTTGCTGATGAAACACAGGAATAACCACTTTGTTTACTGGGTTTAACATCTTTTGGAACCTGGTTCTGACCACCTAAATCTGCTTTATTTCTCATTCACGTGTATAGCAAACCTTCACAGACCTACAATTTTGTGGCTCAGAACATCTGTTTTTCTAGATGAATACTACTCCAGGTTTATTTTTCCAGGAAATTTGGTGAACGGTGTATTAATTTTGGAATCAAAGTTATGATTGTTTTTGGTATTCGATATTGCGAATACCTTTTTTGTTGATGTGAAATCCATTTGGTTGAAGGAACTTTGCAATGAAATACAGCAATGTGCATTCCGTTTGAATAAATGAATTCAGTTGTACTTGCAATTTAAACTGAAATTTAACTAATATTAAGACTTTTTTCCGGATGAAATTGATTAATATTAATATTAAGACTGAAATTGATTGATATTAATATTAATGTGAAACTGAAATTAATTAATATTAAGACGCTGCACTGATGAATCTTCAAAATTGTGTAAAGTTATGGTTTATCTGAACTGTGGATTTATGAAAGATGACCAAAGGACATGGACTGATGAATTAGCAAAACTATGTAACGTTATAAATTATAATTTGCTGAACCTTGACTGCAGACTAAGAACTTATGCTTTTATATTAAGTAAATTTCAAATTTTGATGATATTTTGGATCAAATTTTAGAAATGAAGGTAGAAAATTTGCCTATCCTATGTTGCACTTTCTTCTCTGGAGCTCAGTTTTCTTGTTTATGAGTTGCATATAAAGTGAATTTTTAGTTTATATCAAATGACTGTGCCCTGTCTAAAAGTCTTCTTCTCAGTGATTTGAAAAGTGCAGTCAATTTTCACAATTATGTATTAGGTCTGGATCTCCTGTAGTGATCATCTTGGTCCGTAACTTCCAATACAAGTAAAACATTTTCTTCGAAGATTCATGAGGCAGTTTGATGTATTTTTTTTCCATCCATTTTCTTTAATATCATTTTCTTTTGAATGATAGAATGCTTCCTGGAGCTCTTATTCTGTTCAATAAAAGTTTGCTCCTGCAAGTTCAGGTTATAGCACATTTCATCTTGTCAATCTTGATATTTTGAGGGTCGTGTGGCTATTTTGAGAACTTGCTTTTTAATTTCAGCAATGCAATCAATATGCTTCATTTCATGATATGCTGGAGGCAGAAGGTCTTCAAAGGGTTCTTCCAGGAGTGAAAACCGTACAAGAAGGTACGAGTGTCTGATTAAGTTTATCAAAAAAGTTACAAAAATAGGATAAGTTCCAGAATTGGTGGTTTGATTGACTTTAACTGTGACATTATGCATCGAAATGATGTATAAAGTCACTTGATTTTGGTAAAATAGCTTCAAGAAAGTTGCGGTCCTTGCTTGGTAATTAGGATAGGTTAGACACTTGTGCTTTGTTATGCAGGACACATCTTGTGGGTTCTGTCGCTGAATTCTGATTAGAATTGGTGCAAGGACAGATCTATTTATTGGATGCAAAAGTGAGAAATAGATATAACAAACTGCAAATCTTTGTAATTACACCTAGCAGCTAGAGCAACCAATCCTTTTGAGTTGTATCCATACCAAGAGATACTTTCCTTCAACCTGTTGTTACCATAAGGGAACTACATATAAATTAACTGATGCGACAGAAGTTTCTTTTTATCTAGAGCAGATATTGTGAACTTCTTAGTTTTTTAACGAACGCAAAAAACTGCATTTAAGACGAAGACATCTGAAGCTGTGGTAAGATTGCCTTTAAACTGCGCTCCTCTGAGAATCACTCCTAGAACATTTAGGCTTATACTCTTATGGACCTTTACAAGTGAGCTTAAGGTAAAGTTCCATTAGAGAACCTTTGAGGAATGTCAAAGCTGTAGCTGGACTTTATATTGGTCCCAGATCTGAAATCTCCTTTTGGAGAAACATTGCTTATGGACTAACAAAATTAAGCAAATTTAGATTAGGATTCATCCTTCACTTTCCGATAGACATAATCTCCTGTGTAGATTTGTTTTTGAAAATGTGTTACTTGCTAAAGTAGTCTTTGAAAACAATAAATTTCATATGGAAATTTAGAATCAGGAAATTCCTCTTAAGCAGTAAATTTAATGAAACTCCCACAGGTGAAAAATGAAAACTTACTGGAAACAGCAATAACATCCCTGTATGTATATAGTTGATTAAAACACTTTTTGCAAGTTACTTGAGTTTTTGCTACGTTCATCCAGAGAAAGCTATGCACAATGTTTATCAATGAAAGAAAATTCATGGAGAGAAACTTAGCAAATGTACTACTATTCTGAAACTTCTACACATCTTTGTACGAGATATATCTTATTTTGTGGGAGTTACCTAAACCTAAAATTCCTTTAAAGAATATAACCTTGCTTAGTTCTCATAGTATTGAATAGCATAATGATACTCCCTCCGTTTCAATTTGTAGGTCGTTTTAGGTTTGGAGAGATTTTTCAAAATGTAGGTCGTTTTACAAATTCTAGGCATATTAATGACCATTTTTCCAACTTTACCCTCAATAAATGATGCTAATCTATTTTTATTTAGTCTTGTTTATAGTTCCAATGTAATTATTGAGGGGTAAAATAGATATTTAACATTTAAATTAATAGTTGGATGATTGTCTCCTTAGTTTACGTGCCAAGTCTAAAAAGACTTACATTTTGAAATGGAGGGAGTAGAAGTTTATGGATAAGGGATACCAAAGATGGAGTTTCCTAAAAGCTGGGGATTGTAGCAAATGCTAGGTGCCTCGAATATGCTGTCAGGTTTTCCAAATTTCTTTAATTTTGTAGAGTAAAATGTGATGCTGATTGCAAATCCAGATGCTTGGAGATGAGTCAGAAGTAAAAACAAGAAAAAAAAAAAAAGCTTTGGAATGGTTCGTTCTTTTCTCATATTTCATCATAACATAGTTATTTTTTGGCTGGCCTGATTATGTTTACTGCAGATGCCTTCTTGATTGTTGTTTTGTCTTAACTTGTGTGGGCTAGTGATGGTTCAGAATAATCATGAAGTGTTTTCTTATAGATTCTTGGTGTTTGTAGGAGTGCAAGTGTACAGGAACTTCTACTCAGAAGAGAAAGAAAGATCAAATGGTGTCCTTGCGATTTGTGTTACAAAGCCAACTTCTCAGTTGTGCGATTGCATAGCCGGCATATTATTGGTAACTCCATGGCATCCTAAAGCAATTAACTTTCATTTTTAGCATTTTGGTGATGAGTCGTATAGTTCGATACCTATATTTCTGTCTCTTATTTTCAAACATTGGCAATATAACCATGAACTGACATAGTGTTTGGGGATATCGAGACTAAATCAAACACGTGCTCCTTCCATTTTATTACCTTTTCCCACTAACCATTCATAACCTTGCTTGTCTTCATTTTTGACCTTTACCAATTGCTTCCAATGCCATCTTTCATCTTGGCTGCATTGCAGCTCCCAAATGCTCTTCTGCTTCATATAAACCTTGTGGATTGATTTTACTCATAGGTTATCAGCTCTCGTTGCCAAACTCTGTACCTGTTTCAAGATTGCTGCTTCGTTCCAAATCTTAACATCTCGAACACCTAACCCACCTTCTGATTTCTTTCTACAAACCACTTCCCAACTGACTGGTGCATAGGCCTTACCATTGCTTATTACGTCTGGCAGAAAGTCCCTTCAAGTTCTATTGACCAAATTGGTAACTGTAAGGTACAATGCGTGGCTAGCTAAACAGAGTTTACCAACTGTAGCCTACCAGCATTGGACTAATGCCTACTGCTCCAGCACTTGATCACCATCTTGTTTACTAGCATTTGGCATTCTAGTTGAGGCCATATCTTTAGTGCCAAGGGTGCACCAAGGTATTTCATAGGAAATGTCCCCTCTCTAAACCCAGTATCGCAGATCTTTTCCTTAACATCTTCTGTGGCTCCACCAAAGTAAATATCAGACATGAGTATTTGCAACTAACCCTGTAGTTTTATAGAACTCTGTGAAGATCGTAGTTATAATTTGGGCAGTAACAGGGTCAGCTTTGCAGAACATTAGATCATCTTCAAAGCAAATATTAGTCATTTGCAACTTTTTACATTTAGGATGAAACTAGAAACTTGGATCAGCAGCAGCACACTTCAGGCTTCTGGTAAGATATTCCATTACCAGGACAAACAACAGGGGAGAAACAGGTCGTCCTGTCTCCGTCGCCTTCTTCAACAGAAGAAACCAACAGTCTTACCATTGAAACATATAGTGCAGGAGGTGGTAGCAATACACGCCACAATCCAGTCTTTAGACATTTCAGGAAATCCTAGCCCAATAACTTGTCTTCTACAAATCCCCATTCTACCCAATCATAAACCTTTTTCATTTCTATCTTCATCAAACATCTACCACTGATGTTTTTACTTCTATACAACCTAATCAACTCTTGAGTTAAGAGGATTTTGTGAAGGACAAGTCTATTTTGCACGAATGCAATTTGATTCACATCTACTAATTGGTGCAAAACAGTTTTAACCTATTACATAAGATCTTAGATATGCATTTGTAGATTACGTTGCAACCTGCTTAGTTCTCATAAATTTCTGTCAACTGATTTCGTTTGTGAGGGTTCTTCATATCATAAGAGAGCATACAAAAGTTTGTGGAACAATATGAAAACGGATGTTCTTTCAATGTGGTGTGAAAAAGTATCTTACATGTTAAGCTTGATACATATTGACTGGTATTGAAGCATCTTCAAATGTGTATTTGTAATGTGTTTCAAGCTGAAATTTCTTGTTTGATTTTTCAACCACTTGAATCCAGGATAGGAAGTAACAAATCTGCTGATCATTTTTCTTTTGTGGCACCCAGGCATTGTATTTCGTCTTATATAATCAATCAGAATGGGAATTTCGGAATTTTTAACTACATAGGGTAAAGTAGTTAAGTTATATCTCAAGTTCGTTTTTTGTAGATATATGAAAGTTGTGGATAATTAATGTTATCCAGGATTTATGTAAAGCTACTTCGACTAAAAGTATCATGCATTTGTTTAAAAGGTAAAAGGCCTACACACTGCTGCTTGAATAAGCATGCTGTGAAATTTCCTTTTGACATTCAGGCACTTTGTGACATTTTATTTTCTCGGGTAATAATAATATGACTGGTATGAGGGACTGGGCATATGTTCAGATCTACAGATAATTCTTTAATCCAGGTCACATGAGGTTTTGCTCTGGTTGTTACTATCAGTTGGACCATACTTAGCATTGTAGTCTGTGTTGCGGAAATTCTTCTAATTGAGTTAGAGAAAGAGTTTGGACTAGGTTAACATGTGGTTGTTGGCAGAAATGTTATAAATTGCAATTGTTTAGATCGTATTCATTAGTAAGTTTCTAGTTTATCTCTAGTGGACGAAAAGTTGCATGAATATTGGTATCTTCCCTGTCCTATGAAACTATTAGTAGTTATTTGCAAGTGCACTAATGACAACTTGTAGGCTAGTGATAGAGTCAAATATCTTAAAAAGTTGAAAAGGTTATATGGTTGTCTTCTTAAGAATCGACATTGTATTCATAATAATTCAGTTTAACCAAATCTGTTAAAACTGAAACCTTATCTGTTTATGACGTGTGAAATTTGCCTAAATCATATAAATGTATTATCCTGATGTAATATCCTACTTCTGTAGTGAAATCACAAAAATAAGTAACATGTGGGCAGGAAAATCCTAAGATCGGATTTTAGTGCAAACAGGGCATCCCAGTGTTTTAGCATAATATTTCCGTAGCTCTGTATATATAATTTGTTGCTTGACATACTTACATTATGTGTCAATAAATTTCCTTTGGCTTGGAGATGCACTTGTATCTGACATATGTGTCACATTTGATTCAGGGGCTGAGCTATGGTGGTGTCCGGAGGATGTTGAATATGGTCCATACGGAGGGAACCTTTCAGGAAGGGCTTCCTCCACCAGCATCTACCCTAGTTTCTTCATTTTCAACTCGCCATAACCCATGTGTACTATAAACTAGCTATTGAATGTTCCATGTTTGTTATTTATTCAGCTCCTTGCTGGCATCATTGCCCGTACTTACTTATTTCACTAAAGAGAACAGGAAACCATCAAGTCTCAAATTCTGTAACCATTTAAATTGGAATCAACCTATCTGAAATTGTATGGTATCATCGTATGACAACTTTGATATGAAATAAAATTTAACTGTTAACACTATTGTTTTTCATCTAGAAATGCTGATGAGTCAACAAATAACTTGAGGAAATCTAAATGTATGGATTTAATTCTTTTCTCATTGGTTTTCCTGCAACATTATTGTCTTCTCTGACGTTATTGTGGATATCCTTAAGGGTCCTATCGGTGATTCTTAAAAGTTTTTGGAAGTGATTCCTAGAATTCCAAATTTGTTTATTTCCTTTTAATCCTTAACAATGGTTCCACTATTCTTTTTAGACTTTAGTATGCAAGGGTTTTTTTTGAGTCATTATTTAACGCTTTATAGATATGCTTAGTTTAGATGGCCAAGCTTGTATTCTGTTAGAGGCCTATTAATTTACTAGAGAACTTGTGTTTACATGAATCTTACCTTGGATAGGTGTTCTTTTGTCATGGTATCTTCTGTCTGCAAACATTAGGCAACTAACCTTTTATATTTTCTCTATATATTTTCTGTATTAGAACTTTGTTAGTTTGCAATTACGTTTGAACTACTTCCTTGACTCCATCTATTGATTGGCTCAAGGTTCGAGGTTCTACCTTGACTGATGGAGCTAGGGCGTTGGCAAAACATGTGAACAGAAGCATTGACAAATACTGGGGCAATTTTTCCGGAAACGGTTGGTTGAATGTTTTTAGGATAGCAGTTTTATTGCCTAAAACAGTGCAAACATCTTGTCTAATCTGTGAACTCTTTCTGAAAGATATTTTGAGGTCCTTGCCATCCACAATGGAGTTCCTGTGGTGTTCATCTCTTAAGTTTATGATTGATCAACTCCTAAATTTTAAGTTTCCTTTCTTATTTGTATATTCATTTTCGTTGCTTTTTTTGTGAATTCCTAAGAATAGGGTAGAGTGGGATGTCGGGTCAATGAGATGGTGTGATTAACCCTTTGGTCATTTTTTGATCATTAGCCATTAGCATTATCCTTTTTCATTTTAGTTTGCTAATGCAAAAGTGATGCAACCTGAGGTACATAACCAGATGCAGAGGATAAACTAAAGCAATCAGATTAAAACATAATAGAAATATGAATGGATTAGTTCTCTCATTTATTTACTTTCAGAAGGAAGTGAACAGCTTGAAAAAGCCTGTGGAAAGACTCTATAGGTTGACACTGCTCTTGCTTGGGAAAACTACATGGGCGTACAGATCTCTTTTTTTTGCATTAAGGCACGTAACCAGATGTAGAGGAAAAACTAAAGCAATCAGATTAAAACGTAAGGGAAATATGAATGTAATAGTGGAAAAGCTGGTGGAAAGACTATATAGGTTGACACTGCTCTTGCTATGGAAAATTACTTGAGCATACAGATCTCTCTTTATTTGCATTTATGAAATTTAACTCCTAAAATAAATGCTCAGAATGATGTATCACAGCTTTTCATCTTTCAATTGCTATTGGCAGTGATTTTCTGTTTATGTTCCTTTTCCTGAATTAATTGTGATAAGTAGATGAGCATTACCTGAGAACACCTTTTTCAAGTTTTTACTTCTTTTCTCTTGAAAACAGACTCATTAAGTTTATTTCCCTATTAGTTAACATTGTTTGCAGATGTTTTCCAACTCTGAAATTTGAAATATGATTACCATTGGCTTGTTAAAAGTAGCCTCGTCTTGTGCTTCTGTTAGATTTTTTCCTCATTCTATTTAAGTATTTTATGGAGAAACAGAAATTTACCCAACCCCATGGTTTAGAGAGCATAGAATGGTAGAATGTCTTCGTGTCCTTTACGCACCTGTTTTCTCTCCATTCAGTTTCTTTATACTCCCCCTGAAATATCATCATGCGCGTGTTGATATGCAAGCTGTTGGAATGTAACTACGTAAGTAAGCTTCAAATTTGTTGTTGCCTGGTAGTGTTTCTTGTTTTTGGCCCTAGAACTCTATGGGGGTAACTCTCTACAAGTCTGCAACTATTAGATTCGAGAAAGTTGAAACTGAAGTGTTCTAATCCTTAAGTTGTGCCTGCTTGGGAACATTTTCTTTTGATGATGGTATATCAAAAGCTAATATGACTTGACCACATAGGATGATTCATGAACTTTAAAACCCAAATTTGCTTTGTAGGTTAATACGGATAGACCATTAATTCTACTTGCCTGCTATCCAGATTCCTATAAAAATATGCTTGCAATGAACGTTATCAACCAATTAATTGCAAATTGCTGCTGGGTGAATATGCATATTGTTCCTCAAAATGGAGTTGTTTTTGAAATAAGGGTAGCTGATGGCTATGGTGCACGGTGGTCTAAAGATGGACGCAAGGTATTGTTGCGTGACCAGTTCTTTATTGCTGAATCATGTTTTGATCAATAATGTGAGAACTATTTGGCCAATTTGTGGTTGCTTGTGGCCTAAAAACAATTGCTAGTTTAAATGTGAAGTTAGCTTGTTTGAGTTAAGGCATTACTGCAGAGTAGTACTATCATCCCCTTTCTCTCCATCTCATGAAGTATGCTTCCATCATCTTTGGTTTTACAGTGCGCCGAATGATAAATATTCAACGTTAGACAAAGCACTAAATGATTAAATGTACCTTTGGTTCGGGTATTACACATAGCAGGTATTACACATAGCACTAAATGATAAGTGTACCTTTGGTTTGGGTTTTAGCAATCCTCCACCAATTTATTTTAGCTCTGTACTGTACTGTCATGATGATTGAAAATTGCAATAGTCAGTACTTTTGCTCCATATCCTATGAAGTTGTTCACAAGCTTTCATTTATCTTTACTAAAACTATTTCAAGGTAAATTTTGAATGGATTTGCAGTTCATAGGATTCCTTGAGCCGTACATGGTTGATGGTCACTTGGAGAGGTGGAAGCACTAAAGTTGGTAAAAAGACCTATTAGTTTCTGGCTTTCCTTCTCTGTCAAGAATCTCTCTTATTGGATGGTATTCCTCTTTTGCTGATCAAATCAAAATGGCCATTGCCATTGTATCTGAAATGTCAATTGCTGTGTTAGTGCCAGGAATTCGATTAGTCGAAGCTGATTGATAACTTATACGGTAGTGGCCGTGATTCGTGAACATGGGAATCTCGGCAAATATCATGTAGGAAACACTAACTTAGATTAGATCATTTATGCAGATGCAGCTGAGCCTTAATTTGATACAAACCATCTCAACCATCTCCTCTCAGTATGTAGTCAACAATTATAGTTTAATTAAACATTTGATTTCAAAGTTTGATAAATTCTTTGATATTTTTTCTGTTTTGTATTGATACAAGAAATATTAAGGAATGAAATGTTGTGTAGTTAACTGTGGCTAGAAAAACCTTTTGATCATTCTGTAATAATAAGTAATACTATATATTACGAGTGAAGTTCATCGTTGTGTTCTCTATTAATTAATTGGCAAGCCAGCATAATTAATACTGTAATAAGGCTTTGTTCCACACGTACGTGAGGCTTCATAGGTTTTTATTTTTATTTTTCTATTTTTAAGTAGGGCTTTACCCCAAAAGAGGGTAACCCTTCCAGAAATTCTCGATGGTTTAGGGCGAGCCTTTGCCAAAGAGGGGGTTTGAAAATAGTTTTCAACCAGCAATAGACGCGCGCCTCGGCTAGTACATCATAAACTGCGTCATTCCCTTAAGCGCAAAACATACTTTTTATATTCCGTCCATTCGAAAATATTGTCCAGTTCAGATTTTGCTCTTAGTTTAAATTATACTAAAAAATGATTGTATATTTAGCAATTAAAAATTTCCATTTTGATTGTCAATTCAAAAACAAGGCAAAATATGAGCCATACAACTCTTTGAAATACATTTTAAAGTTCATCTCAAAATTTTATTGTGTGCTTGCATCTTCAACAACCAATTTTGGCTTGACAATGGTCGGTCGATCACCGGTCCTCGGTGGTGTTGAAGATTAAGTAGTTGTATATATATATACTAGTGATGTTTGGTCGCGCAATGCGCGACCCTGGCCCAGTCTATACTTAATTTTGGAGATTTTTAATAGTTTTGTAATAAGTTTTATCCAAAAGGTATACGCTTAAAACAAAATCGACACTTTGTAACAAAAATCTAATTGATCAATTCAATTTAGACTCCATAATTAAGAAAAGAAAATCACTCTAATTGAATAAAACATAAAGAAAGAATTTAAAAAAAAAACGTGCCAAAGTGCAAAGGGGGATTTAGTAATTTAGTTATGGTTAGACAAAAGGGTAATTTAGTACTTTCCTCATGCCATGTGGCAATCATAGAAGGTGTTTGAAAGGGGGTTTTTATTTCTAATATAGTAAGATATGGATTTTTAATTTAAAAATATTATTTATACGTTTTAAATTTTAAATTAATAACATTTTAGACCCCCCCCCCCCAAAAAAAAACCGCTGTAAACAATACAGTTCCCCCAAAAATAAATATAATATTAATTTTTTATTTAAAAAAACCAAAAATGTTGAGCCAATAGAAGACTAGAATTTGATTTTCAGATTGCACACGATGACAAGTTTTACTGCTGGATCAACCATGAAATAACCACCCAGATGGAATCATGCAAAATTAAGGAATAAATTAACAACTGTATGTATCTTGTTAATGTTAAGATTGAAAAACCAAACCAATATGGCAAATTATAATACACACTCCCAATGATTGGATGTGCAAGGGAATAGGGAGCTTTGCGGTTGTCGCCTTGTCTAAATTGTTAGTATGGAATTAGATTTACAAGGATACCCTAACTAAAGATATAGTAGCAGTATAGACTGTCTCGATTGAAGAATCCAAACTTCTAAAGTTTTCTTTGAGAAAAAAAAATTAAAATAAAATTATATATTACTGTAGATTTCTTATCTTCATTATTTTGTAACAGTAAATTATACGTGTGATTATGTAACAGTAAATAATATCCGCGGTAATAAATCAAGCAGGTATTAGTTTGCTTATCAAATTTTGTTCAATCAATTACAAACATTTTTTTTTTAGGATTTCATATCACTTATCAGGTTTTTTCAGTATATTACACACTTGATATCCAAAGTCATTGCTCCGACTTATCAGATTTTTATAATTACTATCTTCTCCACGCCACCTCCCATGCATCATGAATTAGCAGTTCCTAAGAGAAAAGGAGATTGTTTTTTTTTTTTTTTACCACAACCAATTCTTGATGTTCCCTTATATTGTTCAAGGTTCGTGATCAAACTGGTACAAGAATCTAGATTAAGAGATTATTGGTGTGATTAATTTAGACCAAATGAAATGATAAAAAATAGATGGACTTGTTCAAAGTTACAAAAACTCTATGAAATTCCCTCAAATAAATTTTTTTTTTTATAAAGTAGTGTCTATCAATGTTATCTTATTCCTAGGATTGATTACAGGGTACAGAAATGGCCTGCTACTGTCTGACTAGATCATTTAACGTTTTGTTTTGGTCTCCCATTGTACTCTTAGATTTGACTCCAATATGTTCATCCACAGCTCCTGAATAAGACATGCACCAAGACAATATGAACTGCCTAGTGTAACAATTTATCTATTCTCGCTAATTTCCAGTTCAAAAATATGAGTTATCAAAGGTTGTTTTTTTTTTTTTTTCTTTCCTTTCCTTTTCTTTTCCTTTTTTATTTTTTTAAAAAAGTAGTTGAATATTGGTCAGATCAATTGGGTTGGATTCTCAACGAAATAACTCATAGTCACCGAAATAGATTTTAGAAAATATTGAACCTTAAAATTATAAAGAATGTGTATTTATCGAGAAGGATTCGATACTACTGATGTATAATTTATATGTATAACTAACTTAATTATCTAAGTCTATATATTGGGATGAAAAACTTGCATTTGTGTTGGTTGTATTTCACTATAAAATCGATCATCGAAATTTTATAGAAGCATATAAGAGCAAATGAAGATGGTAGATATGTAACAAATGGCAATTTTTTTTTCCCTTCGAGACATTGATAAATGATATACTCGAAGTAGATATGAACACTTCAACTCATTGTAAGGATAACCAATGGCAAATCGATCTCCAAATTTTTTATGATTTGATGTTTTTCTTGTTTGAGGAAAGAAGACAACGAATTCTTTAACCGCCTTGATTTTTTATTTTTATTTTATGTATTAAAGTAAAATGTAAGGCAAATTAACCTAGTCAAAAGTTCTATGTTGTCCACTTCAAATCTTATTGCTTTTATCATCATCTCCTTGTTCTTTGTTATCTAAGAGGATTTTAATTTGGTGATATTGATGTTTTTCTATTAGGGGAGATTCCATATACCAATATTCTATTTCGAAGGGATGAATGTTTTAATTTATTCCTTTCAATAAAAATTTTTCCACATAAATTATTGTACTAAAGATGTTGACATAATTGTTTAGGCTGATCTATTTGTCCTTTCCTATGTCCCCCTGCTCCTATGTACACGATACATCCAAACCTCCTTGCTGTTACTTTAATTATTTTGTTTGGATTAGTCCTCATAATCATTTGAGAAATTTAGACTTGTTAAGCTATTGCTCCTTGGAATATTTTTCTTTTTCCCGCAAAGATCATTTCCATTAACAATTCCTGTAAATGCCATTAAATTGATCTAAGATTCCCCCTTTTTTATCCTCTTAGGTAAACAACTTTCCAGTGTAATTGTTTACAAGACTTCACAAATGTTCATTTGTTACTGCCTGAACATTATTTGTTGAATATCATTAGTAAATTTATAAGAAAAGTATATAATCATGATGAGCAAAGTGGTATCAATGTGATTGAAAACACAATTTTAAGTTTTAACGTATCCAAAAGTAATTATATTATATGTAATTTTACGAGGTAGAAAATGGCAGTACCTGAACGAAATTCAAACCCTACAATATTTAACTTATTACTTTTCGAATAGTCTATAGATTCATCAAGAATGTCAATCTTCCAAACACCTTATTCTTACTATAAGCTATATATTAGTTGATTCAGAAAATACTCTGATGATAAGTTGAACATATATAAAAAGAAAATTGCATTTTCGGATCCCCGAATCTTTGTTTAAATAAATAGCAAACGTAGATATCATTTTGGGGTTCACTTCAAAGTTCAAACCCAACTATGCTCATGGTCTATTTGCAAGAAAATAAAAATTCACTTCAATAATCAACGACAATAAAACAAACTTTGCCTTACAAATATAGTCCCCAGACATTCAAAAATTGCCAAATTTGGTCCCCAGTCTTTGAACTTTGAACATCAACATTGTATCTTCTCGAAAGCTAGGGTACCGGACAGCTTTAACGTGTGGTTAAGCTTCTGCTTTGTAGAAACAAGAAGCACGTACTTAACTTTATCACACGTTACTGTTTTTACATATTCCAGAAGTTTAAGGCAAACCATATTCGATCAGTTAACAAAATATTCCATTCATCCCAAATGAAGAGTTTTGTTTGTTGTTATAACTAATTTAGCAAGTAAGACTTTTTTTTCTTAGAGATGAAAAGGAGTACTCCCTCCGTCTTAAAATTATTGTCCAGTTTGGGTATTTATTTCTAATATAAATTGTATTAAAATTAAAAACTCAAACTGGAGAATAATTATGGGACGGAGGGAGTATGAAATAGCTAAGTAGTAATCCCGGTTTGAAAATAAAAACAAAGAAGGAAAGAACTGCTTTCAAAGTAATGATACAATATTCACTTTAACTTGTATCGATTTTTCGGTTAATTGATCTCTCTCTAACACTACACTCAAACACATTTAATCTAGTCCAATCGTACTCATTTGCCGCTGCAACTAAGCAAACAAACAACCTACGTCCTATTTTATTCACTTTAAAAATGAGATATTAAATACATTTGGAAATCGAACGGATTCAATGAAGTTAAATTTAATGATGCCAGGAAACTTATTTTTGTCTCGGAAAGTAAATATTGACATCAAACATTTACAATTCTTAGCATTATTAGTTGTCCTTCAATGTTGTTATTTCAGGAGTTTCCTGTCATATATTCTTCCATCTAAAAATGATTATTCCGTTAATCATTTTAAGACCAAGAGAGAATAAGAAAAAAACTAAAAGAATACCTAGTCAAGTTCCAAGTAATTCCAATTGTTGTTTGTCATTATATCGATACGATTTATGAGGTTGATTCTCTCCCATTACCATAGTTATTATTTAAAAATAAATTGATAGAGACATTAAACAAAATTTCTTGTAGCTACTAGACTTTCTTCTCTTTTTTTTTTTTCCTTTAAAAAAATAAAAATACATGTATTTGAGGAAATGATATTCTTCCAATACAATACATATGACAGTGACATTTATACATTATTATCATAACAAGTGGCAATCAATATAATGTACTTGGATAGATCTAAGCTTTTGTTTCTCTGAAAATCTCATGGATTTAAGCCTGCAAAACTTCCAGAGGGAATCCTTAGGATTCACAATCCATGGACTTAAGTTTCTTTAGCCCCCAAGAAACAAACTTCTTGATGAACACAAACCCTTTTCCAAATGGTACCTCTCATCATCATCATCATCATCATAAAATAAACATGCAAGGCATGAATCACCACCAAGCCCAAAGTAGCCATACATCCACAAGTAGATCATCGGATTCTGGCACCGAGCCAAGTGGTGACGGAAAATGGGCGCCGAGGCTGCTCCGGGAATGTGCAAACGCGATTTCTGACAAGGATTCCAGCAAGATCCACCATCTCTTGTGGATGCTGAATGAGCTTGCATCACCATATGGTGATTCCGATCAGAAGTTAGCGTCATATTTCCTCCAAGCGCTCTTTTGTAAGGTGACCGGTTCCGGCCAAAAGTGTTACAAAACCCTAGCTGCGGTCGCCGAGAAAAGCCACTCCTTCGATTCCGCGAGGAAATTGATCTTGAAATTCCAAGAGGTTAGTCCATGGACTACTTTTGGACACGTAGCATCAAATGGTGCCATTCTAGAAGCGTTGGACGGCGAAAACAAGCTTCATATCATCGATATCAGCAACACTCTTTGTACTCAATGGCCTACTTTGTTGGAGGCCTTAGCTACAAGAAATGATGAGACCCCTCATCTGAAGTTAACAGTGGTAATTACAGCCAACATCGTGAAGCCGGTGATGAAAGAAATTGCGCAAAGGATGGAGAAATTCGCGCGATTAATGGGAGTACCATTCGAGTTCAATCTCATAAGTGGATTAACTCATTTGGGAGGGCTCACAAAAGAGGTTTTGAACATCCAAGAAGATGAAGCTGTGGCTGTAAATTGCATTGGAGCCCTAAGGAGGGTGAAGTTTGAGGAAAGAAACTCTATAATCCGAATGATCCAATCTTTTAGGCCTCGTGTGGTGACGGTTGTTGAAGAGGAAGCCGATTTTTCATGCTCCAAGACGGATTTCGTCAAGTGTTTTGAAGAATGCCTTAGGTTTACCACGACCTACTTTGAGATGCTAGAGGAGAGCTTCCCTCCAACAAGCAATGAGAGGTTGATGTTAGAGAGGGAATGCTCGAGAAGTATCGTTAGGGTTTTGGCATGTGACGATGAAATTATGAGTGATGATGGAGACAGTGAATGCAAAGAAAGAGGAAGTCAATGGACTGAACGGCTCCGGGAAGCATTTTCACCGGTCGGTTACAGCGATGATGTTGTGGATGACATTAAGGCTCTTCTTAAAAGGTACCCAGCAGGATGGTCTTTGCAACAATCACAATCAGATCATGAGTCTGGAATCTACTTGAATTGGAAAGAAGAACCTGTAGTATGGGCTTCAGCATGGAAACCCTAAAAAAGAAATGGTCAGAAAAAATTATTTTCCACATTTCAAGCATTAGTAGGAGATTTATTTATATTTTGAGATTTTCTAGTGAACACTGAACATAGACAGAGTTCCATTTTAGATATAGAGAGCAGATCAATTTCTCTTTAGTGTTTTACTTTCTTTTTTTTTTTTTTTTTGAATTATCATCCATCCATAGAAGGATTTTTGTTTTCTAATTTTGAATTTTCTTCTACATGAATTATTTACTTGATCCTTTGTGTTTGTTTCTTTGTGATTCTCTCTTTTTCTTATTCTGCTGTTCTTCTTGTTTGGAAGTGTTTGCACCGGCTCTTCTCTCATATGTTCATTAATGATTTTCCCATTTTAATATGTGATACTTATTGTGCCCTGAAAAATAGGCATTCCCATACTGTTTTATTTGGAGAAATGACGAGTTTGGGACGTAGAGTCAAATGGTTTTATATTATTTATTATTTCAACTCCCTTCTTCTTTTAAGGGATGAATTCCAAATAGTACCATATATGATGAAGAAATTAAAATTTGGAAACTCCAAAAGATACAAACAGTAATTAAGGAGGCCTTGTAAAATATTGCTGATTTTTGCATGCTTTCTAGCTAGTCATTTGTGAAAAATCATGAGAGAGTAATGAATTATCACAGTCACTATAAAGGCTCTCAACTCTAATCAATAAAATATTGCACATACAACTGATTTGACGTTTGATTTAACTTGCAAAATTTCAAATAGCCATCAGGATATTCGATTGTGAATTGATCTGTATATGGTTAGTTGATTCTAAGATTTTTTTTAGTGCAAAGGATGATTTTATTTATATAGGTTGGAAATCGTCTAATTGCATTTAGTTGATTCTAAGTTTTGTTTCAGTATTTCTCTGCTTCTTCTTTTGATTAGATTAAAATAAATTAAATTTATAAAACAAAAGCCGATGATCCCAGTTGAGAGGGGGAAGTCTATTTTTTAATTATTAATTTAAAAACATAATAAGAACTACCAATCATACACTGCCGAAATCTATTAAAAAAATAGCTTCAACAGGAGATAACTATACGTGTTGGTGTTTTTGGTATTGGATATTTGCCATGGAAAAGTTGTCAATCTGCCAGGACTTACGACAAATAGAAGCAGCTAAAACATATACTCCATAGATAATACTACTATTATTGAATCAATGAACAGTTTCTGTTTTTTATTTTAATAAGAAATTTTAATTTCCTTAATTAACTTACTGGAGGAAGTTCTTCAAGCATTATTAATTAATGATGTAAAAAAGGTGGGATGAGTCCTAATATTTTCTTTTCAAAGCCACAGTTATCTTCAAGACTTCAATGATCTAAGCTAAGGAATGAGCAAAAAAGTATCAAAACGTCTATTAAGTATTGAACCAACCTACATTAAATACTTCAATAATTAATTATGAAAGTTATTTTCTTCTCAGAAAAACAAAAAAAAAAAATGTATTGCCTTTTGTCCCAAAATGATTATTCCATTTAAAATTTTATTTTGAAATCAATTTTATTTCACGCATATATGATGCAATTTTCATTTCAATAAATCACGACCGGTCATTAAATTAAATCATGTTGAGGGTCATGTGACAAGAATTATGAATCCCACATCGGAGGCATGAGGGCATGTGGATCACTTAATAAGTAAAGTGGATTCAGAACCCATTAGCTTGAGCTTTTGAGTTCAGATGGGTCTTATCTTACTTATTGGGCTCCATGTCGGGTTTTCTCTTCCAGATAAATCCCCAACAGTGGTATCAGAGCCCAGGTTGGGCCAGTTGGGTGGGTGATTTAGCCCAAATTATCTCGGTTGATCTGACTGAACCCAGACAGTCAAAGGCCCACTACGACCGGAAGCGTAGGGATGGGCGGCCCAATTACTCAGGTATAGTACAGATTTGGGCTTGTCAAGATAATTTGGAAGCCCGATGTGGAGATTGCCCATAACGGGGGAGAATATTGAGGGTCATGTGGCAAGGATTATGAATCCCACATCGGAGGCATGAGGACATGTGAATCACTTAATAAGTAAAGTGGACTTAGAACCCATTAGCTTGAGTTTTTGAGTTCAAATGGGTCTTATCTTACTTGGCTCTATGTCGGATTTTCTCCTCCAGATAAATCTCCAACAAATCAATATTATGCAATGATTTCCAACGTTTGTGCCTCTTGTAACCTAGCGTAACTCTTGAAATCAAATTCTTTCGACACACAAACGTCACCAAAATTAAATTATTCTCGCTGTATTAAAATTATTGTTAAGTTTAATTTTTCATTTTTATTATAATTAAAACTAAAAATAAAAATTTAAATTGGATAATAATTTCGGGACAGAGGGAGTGCAAATTCTCTTACCATGCATCTGACTCCGTCATATGTCGGTGAAAACCCATGTTTCTGAACGTTGATCACAAGCCAAACTTTTGCTCTGCCGACTATTCGTACCTTCATTTCTCTAGTAGGGGCCGGAATGATTCACATTCGATTTCATTGGTTTTACTTTACTTTAGCGTCAAATTTTGCAACTAACTAATTAATCTCACAAAAGGCAGTTGCATGTGAAAATTATTGAAGAAAAAAATAATTTTTTATTGTTAAAGATCAATATGCACATGTACATCCTTTATAGAACCAAGAGGAAATAAGCCTGCAGAAAAAAATAAAAAGGTAGAGGACCCTTTTTGGAGAAAGGCTTGGTGGCAAGCATGAGCATACCAAATATATGCCATGGTTGCTTTTTTGTCGAGTGATATGAACAGCATATTTTATTGCCTTTTCTCTTAAAAAAAAACGCATCAATACAGGGCCAACATGTTATAGTGGAAATCCACTTTTCTTTGATTTAGATGAGACTCTTTAATTTTGTGGCCAAATTAGTCAGTAACGTATATACTCCCTCCGTCTCATAATTATTATTTTATTTGAATTTTCATTTTTAGTTTAAATTATACTAAACGTGAAAACACAAACTGGACAATAATTATAGGACGGAGGGAGTACTAAACACCACATGATCTCTCTCTCCTATATGCTTTCCCTTCTTATTTGTGCTGTTGTCATGAAATCGGATAAAAGACATTATTGGTCCCTTAACTTATAATCCTTTCATTTCGTTATAGGTCTCTAATCTTCTTATCAAAAAAAAGAAAAAAAAAGTCTCTAATCTTCTTTGTTATCTGGACTCTTCACTTTGAAGTTGAGTAACCGTGTTGACACTAATATTTTTTTTTCGAAAATGGTACCTATTATTAAGCTTAAGTACCTACTCTATTACATTGAGCCATAGTATATGCCATATTATGAAGATCAGTAACATCATTGCGACTAACCTTAATTATTTCACAAAATTGTAAAGCTGAAATCAGAGTATGTAATAACTTGACCACTTCTTTGCACCAAAAAAAAAAAAATAATAAATAACTTGACCACTTCTTGTGCTTCTAGAGGCACAAGTGCTTGACCCAAATAGTTGCTAGTAACTGATAGTCTGTGTGAATTCGGATACGAGTGAGGCCAAGGTGCACTGCTTCTCTTAGAGTCATTAAACACGCCATTGCTTCAGCTTGAAAAGAGTGTTGACACTAATATGGGTATCGGTGTCTAATGTGAAAAAGTTTACTATTTTTGTATCAATCAAAATAACATTAGTATGTAGGATTCAACATTGTTATCACCAAAAGAAAATGACCAATGATCGACCTACCCTTCTTGTAGTTGCCATAAATACATCCTAAGCCCAGCTTTGTTGTAAACCTTACAAAAGGGAGTGATAATGTTAGCGTTAGAAGTTCGAATAGACTCGAGAAAAGTTTATGATGTGTTAAGTTTAATTAAAATCCACGAAGTTACATCTTGAAGAGATGGGGATATAACCTTTATATTGGCACATTCTACAGACGAATCAAATAATTATGTCTTTTCACCAAATGGAACCAACTAAATACTGTTCTGCTAAAGAAAATTTGGGCCTATAGATGATTACCCTGTCATGAAGATACCAGCAGGGAGCATTTAAGGTAAAATTTTTCTTTGGTTTTATGCATGGTGTTCCTGATCAGTTTAAGTTTAGGCGGATACTTCATATTTAGACACATCATTCCTTAATTAAGTATTCATTGTATATATTACTTGGAACAAATCCCACTTTCAATCTTTCATATAAGTTTCAATTTTTTTTTTTTGCATTCTGTCTTAAATATCACGCAATGTGGTCACTAATTGACAGATGCTACGTATTGTATTTAGCTTGTTGCTTATCATGGCCATAGGCATCATCTAAATGAGTTTCAGTCCTCAATTTGAGTTAGATAAAGATTAGCATTTCAACTTGAAGTTCTAGTTTATAAGCTGATCATTCAGATGCTAATATTTAGTTTGTCGGAAACATTTTAGTGTTCCAGACATGTACCCTCTCCTGAGAATAAAAGTAGCAATACTACAATAATGGACTATCCATTGACGTTTTTAAAAGGAGATCGATCAAACATTTGGTTTCCCCTTACTGCCAAGAACAGAGAAGCTCACCGCAACCTCGGACCCCCATGCGCGCTCTACTGCTTAACTGTTGCCATCGATGATTGCCGCAAGATCGAAACAGATTGTGTAAGCAACCACAAAATCTTATAGTAATCTCACATTTAGTTGTTTTGTTGGTCAGGAATGGCAAGTGTTTCGCTGTACGGGCTTTAATGAGGACCTCCTTATATCTATTCTGAAATGCAACCAACATCAAAGGTGTCAATAACCCAGTTCGATGAGAACATGATTAACGTCACTAATAATACTTGATGATACGGCCTCCTCACAAAATAGTTAAGCCACAAGTTATCTTCACATCTGGCGAAGGGCTGTGATGATTTTTAAGGCATATATTATACTACTAATTTTTATAAGCGAACACGGTCACAAATAGCACAGCCTACATTACCTCTATGTCGTCAAGCAAAGATGAATATAAAGCATTCACGCAATGGTTTCCGCTTTGCTCAACCAACATGGCTTTCTCTAACTTAATGCGGCCAATACTCTTGTTTTCATACCAGAGGCACGCTAGCTTAAGAAGTAACTCAGTTCCTTTTGTTCTTTTCTATCAACAACTCAATGGAAACAACTTAGCAACCTAAAGAACAGGCTATAGTTTGCACACCAGTAAAAAGAACTAGCGACGTTATCTCATTTGGCAAGTTTGGGAATGAGGAACAAGTGGCAGTTGAAGGAGT